CCCCGGGGGCAGGGACGGAATGGGGAGACCCCACCCGGGACACCCGGTGACCTCCCCCCCCTCGCCCCTCCCCATCTGTGCCCCTCCCCCCCCCCCATGAGGGACCCGGGGCTGGGGGGACCCCACGGCAGCCCGGGAATGGGGGGGAGGGTCCCCACCCCCCCCCAAACCTGACACCCACACTGGGGTCTCCCCTGTGCCCCCGCAGGGGTGTCACCCCCCACAATGAGGGTGCCGAGGGGGGTCCCCATTTACACCCCCTGGGTCACCACCAAACCACCCGAGGGGTGAGAGAAAATGCCCCAAAACAGCCTCCCTGTGCCCCCCCCGGTTTTGGGGGGTCCTGGGCACCCCCTCCCACCCCCAGCCATCACTCCCTCCTCCTTCCCTCCCACCCCCCGAGGGTTTGGGGTTTCCTGGGCACCCCCCAGTCCATCACACCCCCCCCAGGGGTTTGGGCCCCTTTTTGTATCGATTTGCCATTAAAAACCAGCAGGAAATTGGGGCTCCTTGGGGGGGGCGGCGGGGGCACGGAGGGGTTGGGGAGCAGTCCTGGGGGAGGGGGGGTTGGAGATCCCACAAAATACTCTGGGCTCGTTCCTTCACACCTTTATTCAGCTTCATCCCCCCCAAATCTGGGCGGGGCCCCCCAAACTGGCTCCGGGGGAGGGGCCGAGCCACACCCCCTCATGCCGGCGACGCGGGGGGGTCCCGGGGGGGCTCCTCGGGGGGCTCCTCCCCGCACTGGAAGCGCAGGAAGTCCCAGACCTGGAGCCCCCCCCGGTCCCGCAGGTACCGGCCCAGGGGCACCCCCGGCTCCAGGAGGGTCCCCTGTGCCAGCAGCCGCGTCTCCCCGTCCCCCCCCAGCTCGTCCTCGGGGGTCCCCAGCGCGGTGGGCGCCAACCCCACCACGTGCTGGGCCACCCTGCGCCCCAACTCCCGCAGCTCCGCCGGGGGGGGCCCCGGGCCGGGCCCCCCGCAGGCCACCAGAGCCCCGTAGGTGCCCATGGCCACGGGGGGGCCGGGGGGGACCCACCCGTGCGTGTAGGTGGCCACGAACCCCCCCGGGGCCCGGAGCCACCCGGCCCGGCACAGGGACAGGCGCTCGCC